TCAGTAATTTACAATGGAAAAACTAATAAGGAAGTAAATCCGTTTTACACGTTTGTTTAATGAATAGGAGTTTATAAAAGTAATACGTTATAATATAATATTTATTTTGGTATGCATTGAATTATATTTTTGCTCTCTAAAATCGCGTGATATGTTGCAGATGGTGAATAAAATTGTTGCTTAAAACTCAAACGAAGTAGCAAAGCTGAATAATCGACAGGGGACGTATGGAAAATACGAAATCTAGATAATAAACAGATATATGAGAATTATATGGAAATTAATCTATGTTTTTTTATTTATCTAAATTAATTATTCCCCGAACAAAATTTACAGTTTATTTCGAAATATTATGCATTGTAAAAAAGCTACACTGTAAAAAATTCATTATCAAATTACAATATAAAGTACCAACACTTTAGATGCGTCATCCGTAAAATCCTTTTATTGTTAAATCCATATTTACCGTAAAATATTACACCGGAATTTTGACAGTAATATTTATTTAATTAGAGTGATTCGACTCAGTGATGTTACGGTAATTATTACTATAAAAATTACGGTATATCAGTTTTTTTTTGTTTCGTAATATGTTCCGGTAAAAATCAATTTTACGGTAAAAAGTACTGACAGCCTGGATGCCGGCACCAAACTTTCGACCTTCTCCAAACCAAACTATTGGGAGTATGCACCGAAGAGCCATTACATTATGACCACCCCTCATCTATAACAATGGGCTCGCCCAGGTTTTCATGGTTTCTCGCCCAGGAACAATGTTTTCATGGGGCACATTAGGACCCATAATCCTCATAGAACAATCCCTGGCGTCTGTAAGCTACTTGAACATAGTTGCAGACCAGGTTCACCCATTCATGGCAACAGTTTTTCCTGCAGGGAATGGTGTTTACCAACAGGATAATGCACCATGTCATAAGGGTCGAATAGTCGAGAAACATTCCAGTGATTTTCAAGTCAGGTCTTTGCCCCCAAATTCACTTGACCTGAATCCAATAGAGCATTTGTGGTACTACTTGGAAAACCAAATTCATGCTGCCACGCTACCTCCTCGCAATTTCAGGGAATTTCAGGACCAGTTGGTGAGCGCTTGGTACTAGATCCCACAGACTACCAATCAGCATCTTGTGGAATCAATGCCACGGCGGATGCAGTTTTGCAGTGGTGCAGTTTTGAGGGCTAAAGGTGGTCCTACATGTTATTAGCAGGGTTGTCATAATGTAATGGCTCTTCGGTGTATTTTTCAGATTGCCAATATTTTTACACTTCGAGGTTCAATAATCTGAATCCATAGAAAAAAAGGAATGTTTATTCAAAGAAAAAACGTTTTTGTGTCCGATTTCTTAGATTTAAGAGTCCGATTTCTTAACTCAGTGAATCAAAAAAATTTTTTGCAAGGAATTAGAAATTTTTTTTTTTTTGAAATTAATTTATTTCAAAATTTCCTTTTTTAATTCTTTTTAGCATTATTTTCTCATTCTATTTAATAGTGATCAAATATTTTTAATATTAACTTCTGCGGATATGTTTATTGTGTACGCAATTCTATGCAAAAATATGCCATTTTGAAATTTTGTTGCTGAGATGCTATCAGTGAATTTCAATATTTTAGATATTTTAATTTTCAATTAACACATTTTAAAATAATGTATAAATTTATGTACCGAAATGCTCATATTTATTTGATCATAATTAAATCAAATAAAAATGTCTTTTATTGAAATCTTTTTCCAAAATAAAAGATTTTTATATTTTTGTGCATTTTTTAGAATTTTCTTTAATAGCTTCTATTATATGATGAGATAGAATTAACTAAGAATAACGCCTAGCACTTATCTGATCATGCTATTCGGATCACAATATTTCTATTGTGGCAGTTTTTTACTTCAAATATAAAAAAATATGAATTTGTTGGAAAAAAAGAGATATTCATTAATTAAGACTATGATCTAACTGTGTGTTAATGTGGAAGATGATAATTTATTAAGATATTTTTGTGCCTATTTTTATAATTTAGAATATGGCATGCACTAATTATACGTCCTATTAGTGAAGCCATATGCATACAACTATTAAGATTTTACTATTAAGTACATCATGTAGGTAGGTACTTTATTTAGGCTGCACTAGAGCTGCACAATGGGCTACTGGCAACGGTTTGGGAAACTTTCATCCTCTGCAAATAAAATGACTCCTCCGCTTTGTATGAGAGTGGAAATTCTTTTTCTTTGTAGAGACTAGAGCAAATATTTTATTTTACAACCGTCATTGAAAACGACCCAATTTTTTGGGTTTTCGACTACTAATGTTTAACTATGTAGCCTCGTAATTTTGAACCCAATCCAGAAGACAATGGAACTCCTGGATCAAGTTTCGGGAGAAATCTGTCTTTGTGGAGGGCGTTTTGACGGAACTAACCTGCATTTGCGTTACATGGAAAGGAAGACCACGAGAAAGCTCATATGGTTAGCCTGACGGCAAGGGGACTCTAACACCTAGGATCCGTCTACCACTGAGCTTATTTCACGTCAGCATTGCAGTTGATGCTAGCCGGATGCAGAATTTGGCATCGCTAGGATTCGAACCTTTTTTACCTCATTGGAAGGCGACCGCTCTATCCCCTGAGGCATCGCGGCTCGACGAACAAATAAAGGCAACTCAGTTCTTGCCCCCCCCCAATGATGATTTGTTTTGAAACTGGATTATTTTCTTGACGTTAGAGAATCAAATCTCAGCCCCAACGTGACGTCACAACTTTCTTTCCGTCAGAACATTAAGAATTCTTATTTCGTGCTTTGAGATTAAACCTAGGCGTTTCAAATCATCATGAACAATCAAATTAAATAAATTTAATCTCATGAGTTGTTATTCGCAAGTTCACGTTAATTAATGCTACTATTGTGTCTTTATAAGCTTCAACTGGCCTTCCAGAGTATGGTGAATCTTCAACATTAAAATTGTCAGATCAAAATTTTACAAACCAGTTTTGGCATTGTTATAGTCTCTGTACCCCTTCTCTACGTTGTATATTTTATCTTCTTCCTCGAACATTATTGTTACCTTTTCGTTAATAAAAGATTAAAATATATAAGCATATATGTTAAAAAAAAGATTAAAATAAGCATCAACCAAAAGCCTCTGCGTGGAATCAATCGAACATTTTCTCAAGGGAGTTTTTGCTATATCTGCTGTCAAAATATTTAACGAGAAATGGGGTTAAGTGTGAAGTTGGCTCTAAAAATGCAATCAAATCCTCGGTTGGTAGAAAACTAAATTACTGCCCATACTATCGAATATATTTTGAACGTTTTCTTCACAAACTTCTTTTTATTATTAAACTTTTTTTATTTTATAAAAACTAGTTATATACTTTTCAATGAAGAGATTACATAATAATTGTTTAAAAAGTTAATTCTAAGTATTATTTTGGAGTAGATATTTTGTATTCATTATTTTAATTATACTCGTTGACTATACACAGTTTACTATAAAAGTGAATACAACTTAATAGAAAGCAAATCTAACTTATTTACCGTTTGATAAACGGGAAGTGATAACGAAATGTATTTATCATAAAATTTCGCATAAGGTAGTTTCATGCGGGGACAAAATATTAAAAATTTTAAACTATAATAATGAAGCCTTTAATTTTGATTAACAATTAAACACAAAATTTGAATAAAAAGAAATTATAAACATATATACTGTTACCGTAAATAAATAATTTACTGGTAAATACCGTTATAGTTCTTAGATGACATCCAGAGATATCTGCCTCTTCTTATTTTAATCAGGTGATTTTTGTTAATTGATGTCATCATATCATATAATTTTTCTGTTCAATTGGATGCCTGTAAGTGACGTCAGCGTGTGTATTGATCCTGATAGGCTGTTGAAACGTGGCATTTGCTTTTGTTACTAACTGCTCTTATCATTCTAGCCCCGTCAAATATGAATTCTCTTAAGTGACACATTCTATATTTTTTCACAAAGAAAGATTTGGACTTCTCTTACTCAACACAAAGACAGGCATGAAGTCATGTAGAACATAAACAAATTAATTATGCAACGAAGTGGCTAGGTACACAGAACAAAAAGAATCATGGTTGCAGTAAAATAGATAAACAAATAATAAGTCTAGATTACATAATAGCGTTGTCAAGAAGGAGTTATATTTCAACAAATTTGATATGCGATACGACGTTGTACTTAATTAACTTCAAGTTAATTAAGATTCTAATTTGTGTGAGGAAACTTAACTTGACCTTAGACAGCAATATCCAGAATATCAGCACGATAGCGTAAATCAATCAGCTGGCTTTATAAACAATCAGCTGGAGCTAAGGTCATAGGTCAGGTGTCTGCGTATCAGTGACCTTCTTCTTCTTCTTGAGTAACAAGTACCCGATCGAAGTGCTTAAAACGGTAAAACAAATATTAATTATGATGCTAGATGCAATTATTACAAAAGGTAATTAATTTCTGAAATAAATGGTTATGAATTGATGGATTAAAATTACAAAACAAACTCTGCTGTCCAATATTGTATTATTGCATCGTTTTGTATTTTAATATGAATAATTAATGTATGTTTATATTTAGACTTTTTATGCACTAACGTGTAATTTTTTGTACTTTATGATAGATTGAAGAGCTAAATATAAAACCTATAAAATCTTAATTAGAGCATTTGTTCCAGGCAATCATTGTTCATATTTCATCGAGCATTGTTAGATCATATTCTATCATACTGAATGCACATAAAAATCCTTTGTGGTAATTCAATGTAAGATGTTAAGCTTTTACATTCGATATTAAATAACAATGAAACTAAAATAAAATTCTTTACGCAAACAATTATTGATCACGCTCACATAGACATTCACAATGGTATGTTTTCCTTGTGCTGTCGATTTCAAAAACAAGCTTATCTATTAAAAGCAATTTTTCCTCGTTTTGCTAACTATATATATATTTCAAAATATCGTTAGTAACAGAGGTATTTAAAAAAAACGCCTTTTTTTGGACATTCAGCATGAAGTTATTACTACCGTTTTTGTTCGTTGTGCTGTTTTCTTCATCTTGTAATGCCATTGAAGGCCTCGAAGGAATGGACGAAACTGGATTTTTCAATTGCTATTATGCAATATTGTGCGATGTTAGTAAGTATCCAATAATAGAGTCGGTTTTTAAAGTTAAAAAGAAATAATATTATATATTACTGTATATTATAGTCATAGATATGATTCCTTATTTTTCATTGATGGAGTATATTTTGTTATTAATTATTGGCTTTGCTTCATTATATTAAATACTAACTTTTTTTAAGCATAACTTAAAAAAAGCGTAATGCATATAATTGTTCGCATAGCTTTAGTTAAGAGAGAATTTTTTATTAATTGTTTTGAGAATGAACTACCAAAATAAAGCAATATTATTAGTTCAAGGAAGAAGAGATAGTAAGCACTTTGTTTATCAATTTTATTTATGATTGGTTAAGTATTATAAAATATGTTAAATTTAATAAGCTTTTACATAATTTTTGAATATTTTTTTTTTCTATAGGAAAACCATTGGAATTTAGAAGTCTAATATTTGAAACCTGCGATGAGGTAAGTTGTAATTATCGCATTGTTAGCTTTAGGTATAGAAAGCATTATTCAATTTTAATATTTCGGTTCATATACATTGAAGCAAATGAGTTAGCAAAATTTTCATAAGATTTATGAAAATCGGTAATAAATGAAAAAAAAGTTAAAATCAAAATTTTAATGAATTAATGCAAATACATCGCAAAAGAAATAATTTGATTAATCTAAGAGTAGATTTTGAGATTTGTTGACTTACTGACTAATATGAAAAATAAAATCTTAGAAACCTGAATAATCATACTTTTATGGCATGTTTTGCATGCGATTGTCTTTGTAAAAGGATAATTGATTTTAACCACTTGGTCAGAGTTATCAATTATAATGAAAAATTATAAGGAATGCAAAAAAATGATTCCAATAACTTTTTGGACAGTTCTATTGCACATAAATATTTTATTATTTGAGTCCAGTTGTATTTCGTTACATGACCAAAACGAGAAAAAAAGTACACTATGTAAATATCCTTCAATGTTCAAAAACTTATTTAAAGCTTGGATCTATAGAAGTTAAAAGAAGGTAAAATGGCTTTTTGGTTTCCCTCTTTATCATCGCCAAAACGGGCAATTTGTTTTAATTTAATTTATCAATTAGAAAAAGTCATGATTTTAGTAATTCTGTCCATGTGCTTTCATTTGATGATTTTTGATTACACAAAATTGTTTGGACTTTTTTGTATTATAACTTTTTTTAGATTTTTAAAATCAATATGAGGATCAATAAAATCAATCCGGACTGATTAAAACATATAGTATTCAACTTGTTTATGAAAGAACAAAATTGAGCATCGGTTCCTTAAGAACAGGCTAATTCTAGCTTGAGTAAAACAGTATAATATTTTCTCATTCTCTTGGTCGTGATTGATTATAGATTGAAAGCCAATTATTCTCTTTTGAGTATTTATTTGTGATTTGTAATGAGAATGCGTGAGTCTTCTTGAAATAAGTGTGTAAAATACGTATTTAGGATTTTTTGAACCAACAGAATATCCAATATAAAACTTTAAACTTCTTTGAAAATCCATTAAATTGAATTATAAAATTTGAAGCAAAGATGGAGTTGGTTTGGGCATGATTTAAGAATTATTATAACTGGAAAGATGTCTTTTTTTTACACTTATTCTGTTTTTGACGAAAAAAATATCAAGAGAAAGATCCAAATTATAGTACTAAAGAATGATTATGAATGAGCTTCTACGGATTTGAGACAGGACTCAAGTTCTGTTTTGCCAAGTGTAGTTGGGACTGTCGAAATCAGCTTGAGACTTGATATTTTATTTCATAACCGTCGTTGAATAGCCGACCCAGTTTTGAGTTTGCGACTACCAATGTTCAACTCCGTTGCCTTGTAATTTTGAACCCAATCCAGAAAACAAGGGAACTACTGAATCAAGAATTGGGAGAAATGTGCCTTTGTGGAGGATTTTTTGATGAAAATAATCAGCATTTGCGTTACATGGTTAGAAAAACTACGCAAACTTTCGACGGTAAGCCTGACGGCAAGGGAACTCTGACCTATGATCTGTCTATCACTGAGGGTACTTTACGTCAGCACTGTGGTCATTGCGAGCTAGGTGGGGAATTCGTATCGTCCAGCCATCACTGGGATCCGAACCTGAGGCACATCATTGGGAGACAAGTGCTCTATCCCCTCAGCCACCACTGCTTTATTCCAAAGAGTATGAAAAGAATACGTTAGTAAATAATGTAAATATTTTTTTAAACTTTTCTTCATACAGATTCTTATAATACATATTAAAAGGGTTCTCATCATGGAATTTCTTATATCTTGCAGTATAGTTGGTTGGAAAAATACAGTAGGCAAAATCCTGTATGACATTTGAAATAGGAGCACAGAATAGGGGATTAGATAATACAAAATTTAGGCTACCTTAACTGGAACCCGGCTTTTGGAAACAGAAATATTAATATACGTAAGATATTCAGTACTGTGGATATGTTGATTTTACCGATATTGCTTGTTTGTTCACTTGTCATTAATTTACTGATTCTTAATTTCTTTAAAAAATTTTTCAGTTACTTGTAAATGCATGGAAATGGTTCAGAGATTATACTGAAATAGATGACGCTGAGGACACTGAAGAGTTTTGGAAAAAATACCCAGAAATTAAATGCGCCTACGCTCCAGAGAAAAAGGTTACTATGTTTATGATTATCTTGTCGCCCATATTCACAATTCTTATGTTGTACTCAGAAGCACGATTTTTACGAAGATTTTACTGCGACAGATTTATATCTTTCTTAGCGAAAATTAATCAGATTTGATTCCTTATATATCTTTCACAATATAGTGCTGACGAGTTACATTGTAGGTTTTATAACAAGATGAGCCCATAAGTTACTGCGTACAGTACATTCTGAAAGCACTTTGAAGCATGAACCATAACACGCATAAAATTCAGATCATACTTAATGTACAGTTAACTTGAACCATATTATTGTAGTTCTTTACCTTTATTTCACGATAATATGGTCTAAATGGAACGGAAACATTGTTCACTATCACAACTTCAAGTTACAGCAAATTTGCACTGCTTTGTGGGTCCAGGTACCGATATTATGCTTCAACGTTGACCGTATTTTTCTGAGAGCATAAGATGTATATACTTTGATAACTAAATTCATAAAAATAAAAAAAAATAACAATAATGAATCACATTTAATTGTTATTGAAAAAATTTTACCATTGGGAAAATAAAGCAACTTTAAAATCTCCTAAGTAGATTTTCTTCAAAAAGAAATATTTAGCAAAAATTTCTCACTGTTTTATAGCGTTTATGTTAGATCAGAAAAAAAGACACTTTGTATTTGAAATTATTTTAACTAATGTGCAATTAGTTTAACCAATAAAATATAATCAAGTGCTAGTTATAAGCTGTAAGTGATTCAAGTGATGGGATTTACTTTTATGTCAGAGTATGAGTACCACATTTTCTGCATCATTTTCTTGCCTCAAGCATCCAATTTTCTGCATCCAAGCTTGCTTCAATAATGTTTAAGTACTTTGTTTTTCCCTGAACCTGTATAATATGAGTACCAACCAAAAGTATCAAATTCTGACATAAAACGGTAAAATGTGTAACAACCAGAAAAAACGGCAAAAATGAAAAAAAAAAAAACTTGTATCAAAGTAGGTAATAAATGGAGGTAGCATACCAGGATAAAGACAAAAAAATAGGTTGAATCAATGCAGTTTTTCAGCCTATATCTTCGTTGATGAAATATATCCTTTTCAATGTAAACTATTAAGCCCTATGGAAAATATTATATAGTTTCAAATTATTATATTACATGTGTAAATTAATAAGCATAATTAGAACAAAAATATGGAGTAGTTAACTTTTTCAGATTAACTGCTCGTTTATAAACTTCCATTTCTTCCAAACCCAAATCTCAGTTTCATTAAACGTTTCTTTTCCAACTCGAGAAGATTAATGCCATCAGTTCTATGACAATACACATATGTATTAGTGTTTTATGTAACATAGCTTTTTAAATTGAAACAATAAAATTTAACTATTTATCTTTTTAATTCATTGTTTTTAAAATTTTTGCAACTTGGTTTTTTCTAGAGAAAAATATTTGATCAATGGTGTGGAGCAATGGGGGAATTTTGGGCAGTAAGTAATTTTTTTGATATATATATATATACACCGAAGAGTCATTACATTATGACTACCCTCCATCTATAACAATAGGCTCGCCCAGGTTTTCATGGTTTCTCGCCCAGGAACAATGTTTTCATGGGGCACATTAGGACCCATAATCCTCATGGAACAATACCTGACGTCTGTAAGCTACTTGAACATAGTTGCAGACCAGGTTCACCCATTCATGGCAACAGTTTTTCCTGCGGGGGATGGTGTTTACCAACAGGATAATGCACCATGTCATAAGGGTCGAATCGTCATGGATTGGTTCGAGGAACATTCCAGTGACTTTCAAGTCATGTCTTGGCCCCCAAATTCACCTGACCTTAATCCAATAGAGCATTTGTGGTCCTACTTGGAAAACCAAATTCGTGCTGCCACGCTACCCCCTCGCAATGTGAGGGAATTGCAGGACCAGTTGGTGAGCGCTTGGTACCAGATACCTCAGACTACCTATCAGCACCTTGTGGAATCAATGCCACGGCGGGTGCTAGCAGTTTTGAGGGCTAAAGGTGGTCCTACATGTTATTAGCAGGGTGGTCATAATGTAATGGCTCTTCGGTGTATATATAAGTAGTACTTTATTTTATTATTTTTCAATATTCTAAAAGTTGGAAGATATTTTCTTTACTCTATTCTGTTTCGTAAGTCAATCTTACTTCCTTATGCTTTATATCACAAAAATAAGGTCTAAAAATATTTTGGAAAAAAAAATATACCTCGCTTGCTTGAAAAAAACCTAGTATCGTGGTTTGTCGAATTTTCCAGAATCTTCCCAGTCGTCTCTCTGTCTGACGACTATTCTCTATTTTTTTTTGCTTTTTTTTGTTTGCAGAATATTCATGTCTTTTTCGAAACAATCTATCTAAGGTGAGATTTACCTCTTTGACTAGTTCATATGGGCTTGGCGATAACAGTTTTTAGCTGTTTCGATCTCCCATTATTCTAAACAGAATGTTAGAATTTTTTTTTAAAGATTTTCGAGTTTTTCGCTTCAATAGAATCTTTAAAGATATTATATAATTTGTTTACTTTCAGCATAAGCAGTCTACATGAACTTTATCACAAATTTTTCTTAGGACATTTCTCTCGAAAACTGCAAACACCTAATCATCTCTCGAGGCTTTCAAAATCGTACCTGCCATTAAAAAACGTGTCTGCCTGATTCATTTAATATGATTAGTTTCTTATACCTTAAACAGACATTATATAAATACGTAGTTTACTTATTTGGTTTTAATTTTGAGTATAACTGAAATGTATATTGAGAACTAAAAGAAATAGTTCATGTTTAAAATGCAATTAAAGAATAATGTTACTTGTAAAAAGGTTGCCAAAGTAAAAAGTGAACAGACACGATAGCCTCAAAAATACAATAGTGATAGCAGCACTATCATTAAAATTTTTGCACGAAACGTAGGAGTATTACCCAACAGATTGCATCTCACTGTCTAATCAGCTCGCATGAAAGAATTTAACGTGAATCCAAAGTTATTCTAAAAATTTATACGATTAGATGAAGCAAAAGCATAGGGCCTAATGTTGCCTAATGGCAAAAGGTAATCGGATTCTTTCTTCACTAAGACAGTGCTTCACAGTTGTCATAAGTTGTAACTTCACGATTGCCTCGAATTATTTTTAGGAATGTTAGGTGCAAATTTCATATTAATATTTACACATCACAAAAACTTCATAGATATTTTATTTTCATGTTCGCTCCCCATAAATGAACCATGTTAACCACCCTCCACTAAACCATGATACTACGTGTTCAGTTTTGGATACATCAATTTCTATCACAGCTTTAAACTTAGTTTAAATGCCTTCACGCAAAATGATGAATCATCAGTTACAGCCCCCTCTCTAATTTTCTCACCTTACTCTCTTTTACATCATGCATCACTTCCATGCTTCTGATGCTTTCATAAGTGACCACTTTTCGATTTGGCAACCCTTACAGTGTCGTCAGTTTCTCATTATCTATAAAAGAACGTGGTTTAGGGATGTAAACACTTCAATTAATTACTATATATATATA